ATTTTATTGAAAATTAGGTAACTCTGCTACCGACACATTAGAGATCATTGGAACAATAAATGATGATGCATCGTTATCAATAATACACACGTATGAGTGGTACAACCACATTAAATGTGGGCACGAAAACGTTGAAGATGCACCAGCGATAGTAGGCCCTTCAACTTCAAAGGATAAAGAAACTGTTGAGAAAATTCGTTTTTGGTGATATCTAACAGATATATAACAACTCAGCAACTTTCAGACGTGCATGGGATAATCAAAGAAAGCTGCAGATTAATTTTAGTTGAAAATCTAGGAATAAGGAAAGTTTGTGCTTGATTTTTGCCTCGGATTTTGACAGAATATAAAAGTGAAGACAAAAAAGCTGACTGTGAAGATTTGCTGACCATTGTGTAACAGGACAACAATTTCTTAAAGTGAATCATAGCGGGAGATGAAACCTGGTATCTACAATTCCACCCAGAAGCAAAAAGCCAAAGTGCACAGGGCAAAGAACTAAGATGATACACATTGTATTTTTTTATTACAAAGAACTTACTCACCATGAATTTGTCCCTGAAGATCAATCAATTAATCAGTATTTTTATAAGTCGGTGCTTCTTCGATAAAGGCAGTTAGGCATGCAGAATAAGGAAGGAACATTTTGACTCTTGACAATGGTTTCGTTTGCACAACAATGCTACAGCATCTTCTGTACAACAATATCTTATTAAACAACCCGTACAGCATCTTCTGTACAACAATATCTTATTAAACATTCAATTGCGGAATATAGTGGGTGATTCCGCAGATTAATCGTCAGTTGATTTTTTCCTTTTTTCGTTAGCTTAAGATGGTCGTGAAAGTACAAAGGTCTGAAAACCTTTCGAATAGTTATAACAGATGTTACAAGTGTTTTGAAAAAAAAAGGTTAATTTCAACGGTTATAAACGTTTCAGTTATTTGAAGAAATGGTGGAAAAGCTGCATAGGCTCCTCTGGTGATTATTTTTAAGGAGATAAACTTATTTGAAGGTTAGTAACGTTTTTCTTATTTATAAGAAATTCTCTGGTTAGTTTATGGCTGCTCCATGTATATTACAAGAGGTCTAGTAAATGATGACAATTACTTTGAATATATATATGTGTGTGTAAGTTTCTTTTTAATCACTTTTATCTTCCTGCATAAGCGGATGAAGTTTTGCATCAATCCAATAGTTTATCTGTTAGAGAAATGTTTCTGTATTTAAGATTTAAAATGAAAGTTGCCGCTTAAAGTCTTAGAGATATTCACTGTTTCCTTTTACTAATTTAGCTTTTGTTATGTGAATGTAATTTATTTTTGCAATAAATTAATATAGCTTAGTACAACTGTGTTGCAGATTAATTTTTAATTCATGAGGGTTACAGCTAAAAATGAAATGAGAAATTACTTAATCTATTTAGTGCTCCTAGCTATTGAATAAGTTAGATACTTCTAGCAACTTATTCAGAAATTATACAAATGAAATGAATGCGTTAAAATGTCACAAATAGAAATATTAGAAGATAGAAAAAATTAATACAGCATACGTAAGCTACTTCGTCCATATATGCTAAAGAAACCTGTATTTTTTATTCATCGTAAATTTTTAATGCATTGTATTATGGATCGTTCACCCCGAAGTTTTCCTCCGAGGAATGATAACGGCGACTTTCTTAGATATTTCTTCTCTGAGATGTTTGCTTATTATTTATTCTCCCTCTCTTCATCACCCAAATATCCGACGAGCCGCCGTCTGCGTCGCCCGTTCATACTTCCGTCGATAGAGACAAGAAAAAAGGGGAAGGGAAAATTATTTCCTGCAATTCGATTCGATAACGTTGCTACGCAACCAGAAATTACCAAGAAATGAAGAATTGAGCTAAATGCCGAGGTTATTAGGTTGAATGGAGCGCATCTTTTTCTGCCCCTTATTATTGTTGCATTATTATTGATTTATGCTAATATGTTTTTATCCATTTAATAAAAGTTAATTGTCTCATTTTCCCTCATTTTAAGCTCATACAAATAAAAGTTGTCCACACGTGATTAGGTTTCCTTGCATAATTCTTTAAAATTCATATTTAAAGTAAAACCACGCGTAAGGAAAACTTCAGCTTTATTTTGACATCAGTTTTACACACTCAGCGTTTCAAGGGAATGCAACATGGATAGCAGGAAAAATTATTTTATGACATTTTGTCGGAAATATGTCGTTTAAATAGGCGAAGTACAATAAATACGCAATGATTAACAATAGGATAACCGTATCATCGAATTCACATAACCTTCAAGTTTCTGTTGAGTTTGGCTTGCTTTGGGAGCATAAACTAGGTCCAGCTCCTAACAGGCGTAAAGGGAATAATCCCTGTGTCTGAAATTAACTACACAGTCTTGGAAGGGTTTAAAATAATAATTCACACACAAATTTTGATCATAAATGCACTTTCGTGCTAATAAAGTCAACCAGAACTTGTAGCGATGCGACTTAAGTAACAGTCAAATTCAAATTTAAAATGTAGACTGGTAGTTAAAGACCACACGATTAAATTTAAATACCTGAAAAACTCTAAGTGAGGTAATAATTCAAACGTCAGCAGCTGTAACGCAAAGCCGAATAATTACAAACTTATCAGAGCTGGCAGAACTGTATAACATGGCCTCGGAAGGCAGAAACTTTCTATCTTTGGCCACTGGAAATGCTTTCACCAGGGCGGCTTCATGTGTAAAATTCTCACTGCCTGGCTCATCCAAAAAAAATTTACTGATGCCTTTGTACCAGCTCAGTGCCTGTCCTCGCAGTGTGGCGGTTGCAGTTGTGATCTTCTGTATTTCTGCAATCGGGTAAAGCATAAAATGAGTTTCCAATTCTTTGAAAAAGGTCACTACTGAATTTCTATCATCAAAAATGGCTACAGGATTTATTGACGCTCGCACTCTATCTACGATGAATCCGAATCTTTCCATGGGACTTACTGGTTCCGGTGCAGCCTGTTATCTTGAAAGGCCATACTAAAAGTTACCTTGTTTTGTAACATTGCTTGTAATTTGTTCGGGCGCCACCTCTAGAGTTTTTTAGAATTTTTCGATTTGAAGAAACTGAAGAAATCCGCAGTGCTATCGCCGGGATCTGAACCCCGGATCTGCCGAATACGCGTCAAGCGTGCTTCCAGTTACAACACGAAGGCATGCGGAAAGAAGGAAGAAAATACCCTATTCGAAAGTCGAAAATTTGAATCTTCACCCTTTTTGTCGTCAATCAGAACTTTCGAATACTTGCAGAGACATTAGATATTTTTTGGAAGCAGGAGAGATGAAAAATAAGCAACACCTTCGGCGGGACTCGAACCACAGGCCTCTCGAATACGCGCCGAGCGTGCTGACCACTACACTACTAAGGCATGCTAAAACGGTTAAGAGAAATACTTTATATACTCTCCCCCTTTTTAAAGGGCGACTGGGGATTAGGGAACCCAGTTGCCAAATCCTGGTGGTGGAGAATTAAACTACTATGAAATACGAAATTAATCATTTATAGTATTAATAATCTTCATATCCCATGCAGATGTTTTAATTTTGATTTTTAATTCACATCAAAAGTTTTAAACGCTAACAAGCATTACCTTTGTTGGTTTCTTTTCAAATTCATTTAATTATTAGTTTAATATGACGTTCCTTCCTTTAATACTACACCTTTGAGAATATCTGCCTCACTGTTATCATTAGCTTAGGAAACATTTGTTACAAAACTTCAGGAAATTACTCTTTTTGAACTGTAAGCATGAAAAAAATAATGGTTAGAGAATGAAAGAATAAAAGAAAAATAAGAAATAAGAATAAGAAATAAAATATGAATTGAGAAAAATAATAAATTCCCATTCCTCTGCCTAAATTGGACATCCGCCATTTGGGTCTCATCAACAAATCGCGTTGACCATTTCCCGCACTTTGTGCGTCGATTTCGAAGAACTTCTCTATATCCGGACCATTAGCGTCTTTTTCAAACGCCATGCAAGGTAGGTAAACAAGGTGCGGCCTAGCTAATGCAGAAGACTCGCATGACGTTAGTCGATAATTTTAAAAAAGAAATCGCCTATACTTCAGAAGAGGCGAAAGGTTGGAAGAGCGCGTGCAAGGATGTTTGGGATCGAACTTTATTTCCGGTCAGTAGGCAGAAGCAGGAAGTTGCCAGATGAGAAAGTCGGTTCCTGGCAGCTGAGTTTAATCGCTGATTTTTCCGAGAAATTCATCTACGAGAAGGCAAGGTCCTTTCTCCAACAAAATATTTCTTGATATCAAAAGAGAACAAAGTTATCTTTAACCTTATTTTCAGACAGATTACATTTCATCCATACACATTAATAAAAAGTGATATTTGGTTAGTTGATTTTAAAATTGAATACACAGGGAATCTTTCCATTTGTGGTATATTTTCAAGCATAAAGTGGCTCGTCTTCACATAATACATGAGTAAACTATGAAAACTTCATATTCCATCCTAATTGCTAATTGAACGTGTTACTAGCTATATAAAGAGAATGCAGTGGGAAAGACGAAATTTCCTCACACTCTTTCCTCGTTTAAAGAACTAAAGGAATTAAGATCCAGTCAGCCATAAAGATGGTTATAAATTACCGATTACCACGTTTTAATCGGGCACCACTGTAGAGTTATTATATTTTATCGGAACGAAAAATTAACTATGTTCTAGTAGGTATTCGAACTACAAATATTTTGATTGCTAGCCCTACTTGCAATCCGTTACAGTACGATAGAACGTAGTAGAAAAGGCGAAAATTCCCTATAGAATAACTACATATGTAAATATTTAGATATACCAGTAAAATTGCTTTTAATGCTTTTTTTCATGCTTTTTAATACTGATAATAGGTCGCTAAAATGAAAATTGAACTCCTTAAATTTATTTTTATGTACTTATCAATTAACCTGACTTAAAATGCTAACACTTGGATAAGTTTATGGTGACACAGTATTACCTGACATGACAATTTCTTGCATGGGTCCTCTTCATCCGTCCATTCTTCTTCGTTTTCATAGTTTTTGCCTTTATAATTGCAGCCTGAAATAAATTTTGTAAATTGTAGTGAATCATCAAAATATATAGTTGCTTTTAAGAAGAAAAAAGATGATTATGTAAAATAAAAATTCACTGTATGAGGATTAGTCAAAGGATTTAGGGGACCTTTAAAACCCTGAGTCATTGCTTTGAGCGTTCTAAATGGAAATTAGACTTTATTTGTAATTCAATTGAAAGCAGCAGAATACCTTTCAGTTGCCTAAAATTAGTAATGAAATATATACCATGGGCTCGAATATATATCTTCATTATTGTTGCTTAACAAATTCATTCATTTCGAGAAAAGTTCTGAAGAAGCAATAATTTGCCGCCAAAGATTAAAGTTAGACAGCTAATAGCATTAAGTTAAGGATTAGAAACCAGTGCTAGGCTTAAACTTTCACATCGACTTGAAATATTGAATAGAGGCATAGATAGCAGAAAAGGGCTGTTGTCTTCCAAAGCGACATAGCGTTTGAACAATAAATAATAATTTCACATAATAATTCAACACTATATGTTTCATAACATTTCTGAATGAAACATTGTTTTCTTTATTTAACCTTGAAAGTGTTTTTGAATCTCAGTAGCTCCTTTACAGAACTGGAGTCGATATACTTCTCCCTGAATGTTAAACTTTCCTGCTTTCTTCCAAGATAATCAGCAATTTTTAAACACGTAATTACTTTCTTATATATCACATACATATTTGAAAGAAATAATCTGTTATTTAAAAAATAATATGCATGAATATGCAGTGCATTAAAATTGCAGCATATCCTATGATATATGTAACAAACAAGAAAGAAAACTATGCCGTAAAACTGGAATCAGACTGAACAAATGCAATCGAGATAACTACGCAGTGAACATTCTTATTTCGGCACCTCTTACGATCACCACTTTTGTCCAGTTTTTCTGAGATCATCAGTAATCGATGTTTATTTATTATCATGACCATCTCCACCAAAGATCTAAATGCATTTAGAACACACTCTTAAAAAAATCACTGTATTTCATTTTCCATACTCAAGCTTGGTGTTTCCCGTGGGGTAAGGGAGTGTTCTTTCCTGTTAATGTATATTGAAGTTTACTCACTATGATACCCATCGGTAAAACAAAAGTTCATACGTGTTGATACTAAGGATTAAGTAACTTCAGTTATTTTAGAGAACTACAAGGAATTCACTAACATAAAATTAAGTAAACAGTAAGGCATCCAAATTGTTTACCTCTGTTAAACTAACTTCCTGACAAGTAGGAAGTTAGTTTAACAGAGGTAAACAAAGTAGGAAGGCTTATTCTTAGAATTACAGATAAAATGATGTTCTCAGAGAAATTCTAACTATAAACTGGTAAAGAAAAAGAAGTGTTGGGCCCTCTTTTGAACGCCATTTTTAAATCTCCTCAGTAAAAGAATTGCGGAGTGGGAGAAAAGAATCTGCTAAACGTGATTTTTGTTAGAAAGCACCTCGTGATGGATGAATTCGGCAAAAGTTTACGATCCGGCAGCTCCGATGATCTTCCTTCTTTTTTCTCTTGATCTTCTCTTCTCTCAACTCTCTACCCCTCCTCTCCACCCAACTGAAGGACGTCTCTCTCGCCAACATTAATTGGCATCTGTTGTCTGAGTAGGAGAGAACGCCCGCTACTATTTCGTCAACTGTTTAAATCCTGCCACTTTGTATATCTGTAGATGAGGCGATGAACAGATTTAAGGATCATGACATCCGCTGTTATAGGGGGTGGAAGGAACGGAACGGTAGTAAAAAAACTATAATACTTGGTGGCCGTTCAGTTAACAGCGGTTTCGGATATTAATCGGGTGGTGTTTGGAGACATATGTCATAACGTTGTAGCGTTATTATTTGAACTAACTAGTAGATATAATTCAACCATTACTATAGCATCTTAGCATTTAAGCTGAGGGTTTGGGACTGTAAGACAAAACGTGTTTTTACTCGTCATGGCCACGTTACGTAGTTTTTGCCATCTCTGATAAATTTGTAATTATTCGGCTTCGTGTTATTTGTGGCCGACTTGTGAATTGTTTTGTTACGCCGGTTAAAGTTCTTGAGCCAGCTCAGATTTAAATTTAATTGCGTAGTCTCTGACTACTAGTCTTACGTTTCTACGTCGTTGGGCGTGGCTAGTTGAACCCGTTGGACATTTGTGGAGCAAGGTACCATGGGTGGCGCGAATGACGTAGTTGGTCAATGTTTTTTCCATGTTGGCGGGTGGGAGAGGTGCGTGTTCCTGTCACGTTCAAAATTGCACTACTGTGGAGGCTGTGGCGATTTATTGCCCGGAGCTATTCAACGCTTTGGTGTTTTTAGTGGAGGTTTGCTCGTGGCGTTTTTAGAGGAGGCCGCGTTGGTCTCGAATGCCAGAACCTGGGTTCAAGGCATAAGAGTGAAATACTTTACCTAGTCACGAAACAGCTCTTTGGTGACGAATTCAAGTAATTCACCTCTTTCGAATTTGCGAACGTTGGCTAGTTCCGAGGGCAGCCATAAGTATAATACTATAGAAATTTGTGGTTTTTCTAACATTCAACAACGTATTATCAATTACATGTAAAGGTCAAATGTTATCTGTGGTCAATGTTGATGTTAAAACAGACGGGAAAGAGAGAGTTTTAATGAAACTCCAAAATAGTATATTTAACCGTCTACAAAACTGATGCAAAGCATGAGGAGCTGCAGACAGTCAACTATTAAACTGAATCTCGAAAAATAACGTATGGGTCTATTTTTCTAAGTCATAATCAATTTCGAGTGCAATGTATTATTCACAGTTTCAAATTTAAGTATACCTTTATTATATTAATTATATGGGAAACAAAATATCATGCTTACATGTAATTCATTCTTAGCTTCCTTTTTACCAGAAACAAGTTTAAATATTTTGTTCTAATATGTTTTTTGAATTTATTATGGGCTTAGTTATGGGCTTTGTTTACACTCTGTCAAAAAAATTTCTAATGAATATTGATGTTTCTGATACTAATAATTTCTGGCGCGTCTGCTAAGATCCATGACCGGACTACGAACATAAGATATCAAATTTATCTATGACTTGTCTAGGATTTTTCCATGACGATTATCACAGGATTAGGTTGCACTAAATTTTCAGAAAATCGTTAAATATATTATGAGGAGTAGTGAGGGATATTGAAAATAAAACTCTGTGAATAATTTCAACAAAATATAATTTAGCAGATTACTAGCGTAGTACCTCAAAAAGAAAAAAAATGATGCATTGACTACGTATTACTGGAAATTAACATGAAAATAAAAACCAGTAACAAGAGAATAGACTAATAAAAGGGGAACTGATATTTTTCACTCTTTCCATATTACAAGATGATATTCAACATTCATTTCTTTCTTCAATCATTCGAATCGTATAAATGAATTTTAAGATAAATGTTATTGGCAAAGAGCATTCTTTATTTCATTTCGGTGTACGTAATATCGCAATCGAATAAATACGGAGCACAATTATCATCTTACATATTTTAACACATCAAAAATTTCATAACAAGAAATTTGCGTTCACATAACTATTATTGTATATATAGTGCATATTAATGTACATTTGAAAAGCATACATTAACACGTATAAAACAGAATAGCATAATTCTGAGTGAAACGAAAGGCCTATAAGTATAAGAAAATGACTGAAGTTTATGGTGAGAATGCCTATCTAGAAAATATGTCATAATTAATGGCAGGGCGAATGTGGAAAATGAAGGATGATCCAGAAGTTTTTTAATCACAAAGGCAGAGGAAGATATCAAAAAAGTAAAAACAATCAGCATTGTTATCGTACGTCGCTTCAATGATTTTGGAAAAAATGTCTTGTTATTCGCCTAAAAATGAAGGACAATTTGTCCCATTCCAACAATTTCCTTTATTACATTGTTTATGTGTCCCCAAGTTTTTAACCAGAAAAGGCATTGCAGTGGTTCCGCAAATCTACATCTCTTTGTCCCACTGATTTCTTTATTTTCCCCAAGCTAAACATTTCAGCAAAAGTCTATCATCATAACACTATGAACAGCACAATCATGGATTAGTTGAGAGCGATCCCACAAGACGACTTTCAACATTCTGTAGTGAAAGGAGCTTATCTCCATTGGTGTCTCCCAAGAGATTTACTTTGAATGCGATAAAGTGGATTTGCAAATCACAGTTTGATCGCATGTTTGTCGCGCCTCTGTATTCACACAAGAGAAGTGAAGCTTCTAAATTGAATCATCGTGTTTTTGCGCTAGTAAAAAACGTTTTCCTCATTAAAAGTTTTGAAAAAGAAAAATTATACATTTTTTAATTTATGCCATTGTTTTTTCAAATTATGTTTCAAATATGGTGAATGTTACCAAGCCCAAGAGCATACGTAAAATTCTTAACGGAACCTTTGTTTTCCCTCCTACGGAAATGCAAAACGTATTTTTTCCTTTGAAAAACCTCATCGATTTTCCTTCATGACACGATGAAGACTGAAAACTGTTAGAAACACCACTTATCGCAGCGACTGTTGTATATCTGACAAGCAAGAAAATGCGATACGTTAACCACTAGTTAACGCATGGTGTATCTGCCACACAGAAACAAACTGTTCTTTTTCATGCGCAAATGACGTCATGCACATGCCTCTATCACATCCGATATCACGTTGGAACGTGGCCAAATGAAGAATAATTTCCGCCAAATATCGCCACATCCGCTCGCCAAGATAGTGCAACGCTGGAGAGGGAGATAAAGAACTATTAAATAAAAAAAAAAAACAAATAAAATGTGTATGAATAAAGCGAAAGGCTAGGGCTTAATAAAACACATCTCGGCTTGATTTAGAATTGTCCTCTGTTCTCCTCATACGGTTATCGTGAAGAAACATTGCAGCAGTCACTTTGGTGATGACTAGGCAAGACTTAATAAAACTGCATCCCACTTTCTGCTATCTCATTTTCTTTCCATTTTTTTTCCATCCTGAATCTTCATTCTGTGGCTTGAGCAAGAAGGCGGAAAGAAAGAAATATGTTGCTGGAAATGGATGTTACTTCTGAGGTTTATGCTGATTTAGTAATCAAGATGTAGAAAAATAATTTTAAGATCTTCAGCTTTGATGATATGAAAAATTTACTTTACATAGCATTTTCACTAAGAAAAGCAGAAAGTATAGGACACAGTTTCCGCAAATTTTTGTCACTGTTAGATCACTGTTTAGATTACGAGTTAGTCGCATTCTGATTAAAATTTTCAAAATTTGTAAAGACGTGTGGATATTTTTACTGACGAAAACTATCATTTCAGAACAGAAAAAAAAATGCAACTCACCTTTGCACATGTCACAACACGATTTCTTCTCTTGACCGAATAACACCAAGTAACAATATTTCCGATTAGGACATATCTCTCTATCGCATTTGACTTGCTTGTTCTATGGGAAGAAAAAACAAAAGTTTCAGTCAGTTTATTGCAGCTATTAAATAATCGTAAATTAAGGAATAACAACTTTTAAAACCATTTGAAAGTATGAGACTGAATATTAAAGCAAAGGTTATTTATTTCTCAAAAAATAATTCGAAACTGCTCATATATTACGTTACTGCAAACTGAAAAATAATACAACGGTTGGACAATGACTGGAACATAATTTTCATCGATGCAGTGTAGGTCCTTTCTTAGAAACTAGTTGTGCACTGAATGCTCTCGGAAATGCCAGATGAAAGTCTTCTGAAATCAGTATAGGTGAAAGATACGAAAGATGTTCAAGCTTATTATATATTTTTTCAAAACACTTTATTACCAGTTTTGAAGTGTCAACTAGTTGGGGCATTGCCATCCTGATAAACACCTCCTTTGCGATACAATGTTTCAACAACTGGGTGGAACTGGCCCCCTAGAATGCATCGATAGTTTTTCCCACCAAGAACAGTAAATACTGCAAAAGAATTCCACGATGCTGTGGCCAAAACCATCACCAGTTCACGATCATGTTTCACTCTGGGCAGGAAACTATCTACATCATACGTTTTTGTAGGAATTATCTGTACATAAACAAACTATTTTAAGTGAAAAAGATAGTGAAGGAACAAATTTTATGAAAAACATTAAATTTCGCATTGTGTACTGTAAAAGATTTGCTCTTCTGACTGTACTAAACCAACGTACAGAATAGTCTTGGTTATTAGAGGCCTTTTTGCTGCTTAACTTCTTATCGTGCATTATATTCTATTGTACATTTGATTGTGTTGTGTTCTATGTATTTTTGTTTTTCTGTTGCCATGGAAATAAAAAATGTTATCGAAAATTATCAGTTGCAGTTTATTCTCTTAAAATATGTTTATCTCCTTGGATGGCGAATAAATATACCAGTAAGCCTCAAAGATGAATTAATTATTTTCAATCTAATCGCATTTTTAAAGATTGATTGAAGTGAACGAAAATGATTCATTTCGTTTGTTATTATGTTCGCTCTCGCCGACAGCGTACGATTGGGTACCTCGGTTTGCTGATAGCTATAACAGAAACGAAAATACCATTTGATTGGTAAATGCTAACTTTGACCTTTCAGTGTGTATGTACATCCACTGATCATCAGGAAAACAGTTCTCAGTTCCCTAGGGACAGTCAATTTTGGATTCTGGTGTCATATTTTTTCCCGGTCAGTTTTAAAGAGAAATGAAGATTCACTTGAACGCCGATGAAATTTAAAGGGCACCATGGTACAAGTAAAGGATTATAATTTCAACAAAACGAAGAGTTTTTATTTTAGCAGGCCTAGTTGAATCCCAGCCATATTTCTGGGGTTTTTCATGTTATAGTTTTTTAGTAGTCGCTTTCAGGAAAAGCTTCCAAAGCTGTTGCAAAGTTTTTGTAGGAAATTTACTGGACTTCTGTGAACCTCTCGTTTATCTGAGGTTATGTTAATAAGAAACTACATGGCAACAATAGTAGTTCTAACTGGTGCGGTAATCAGCAGGAAAGCTACATTGTTCTGCAATATTTCCAAGGTATTGGAAAGTATCGCTAAATCATTATAAATTCCTTACAGTAGTTTAGATGAGGCTGTACATCTAGTAAATAACCATAACAATGCCTCTCTTGCTGCCCCATTTACAACCAGCCAATCCTGTCAAAAGTGGCAATTTCTGGTCCACTTTCTTCGGAACAAACGCTATATTCTCATTACAACGCAAGCAAGAGTTCATAATAGAAGCCAAAGAAATTGGATTTGTCATTGGGAAGATGTTACAATCATGGATTATTAATTGAGAATGAAACATTGCTTATTTTAGAATAAAATGCTGGCATCATGTCTTATCTAGATTTTAAGTATTCTTAAATATTCAGAAGGAGGAATTCGGATCACATGTACGAAGATCACTCTGAAATGTTTGAGATACACATAGATTATTAAAGTTATACTGAGGAAATTTTAGAAGTGTTCAAAGTAATATTCTCCAGCATCAATGCACTTCTGTAGGCCAATTTTCCAAAGATGAAATGCCTCAAGCCATTCATTTCTTGGAAACTACGAAAAAGTGCATTTATAGCCTCATCAATCTCAACTTCGGAATGAAAACGACATCCACGTACGTTCTTTTTTAGATTACAAAATAGCCAAGAGTCACACATAGCTAGATCGGATTAATGGGGTGGATATTCTATCACTTTGATGTGTTTTTTCTCAAGAAAGTGTACTGTAGTTCTTGCTTTAATGAGAAGATGCATTGTCAGGGTGGAGAATGAGTCCTCTAACATTCACTTCTTGAAAAAATTCTGAAAAACACTTCGTGGTGT